AATCTTTTATAATTCCTCTTAGGTATCTCAAAGATAGGTCAACTAATTATAGCATTACACTAGTAGTTAGGACTTCTCCTAGGTTAAGTTTGATAAAAATAGACAAAGGCATTAGTTTGGTAATATCTCCCATGTTACATAATCCTATTCCAAAAAAAATTTCTAATCATACAAAGGATGATGAAGCTACTATAGTCTTTCAACTTTTAAAGAAACTTCTTCTACATAATAGCACTACATTCTTTTATTAGTGATGCGATTTAAAAATCCTAAAATTTTCTTTTCTTACCTAAAATATCCTTCATAAACTTAACAAAACTTGGCATGAACTCTAAATCTTCTACAAAAGTTTCTTTAGGACTTCAAAATAACCTACAAATTTCTTATTTAGATTTTCTTTTTATAGTCTTTATGGCAATGGTGATGGTGGAATTTTTATACACTTCATGATGGGTCTCTCTTCTATAGCCCCTTAATCATATTATTTAGCCACTAGTTAGGGTTCTTCCTCTTGATAAATTACTTAGTCATTTTTATACACATATCTTAAAGTTCCTTTTCTTTTCACAATTTTATGGCTTTATAATGTTCCTTCCCTTTATCTCTAGGACTAACCTCTGTATTAATTGGTAAAGTTCCTTGCATCTAACTTTTAAAGAGTTAGCTAGTTATCCTAACTGATTTTCTATGTTCCTAATCATAGTAGCTTAACTTTATAACTGGGACTCACTAGTAACATCAATTCTTTCAAAGTTGGTATCTTCTCCTTATATTAATTATAAGAATTAAATCCAAGAAAAAAATTTGGTCTATTGGTAGAAAAATTGGGTTGGGTGGTGTTATTTTTCTTCCTTGTTAAATAGAGCTGTTAAGTAAAATAATATGCTCTACAGTTGATTATTACTCCAATTATTATTGTAGTGATCCTTCCAACATAAGTTATAAGTATTAGAATATGGGTTATTTTGTTTATTACTAACTAGATTTAATAAAAAAATCTTGATGACCCAATTTTACCCAAAGGTACATACACATTTTCCTAAATATGACTTTGTAGTCCAAAATTCAAATTAATACCCAAATTATATAATTTCCAAGATATGGTTGTAATTCATATGTGATAATTGACAATAAATCAAATATTTGTACACTAGCTACTTTTTAAGGTTGAACTATATTAGATGGCCACTTTAAATTATTGGTTACATTTTATTCTAGGGATTGCCACAACATCAATCCATTTTGATATACAGTAAAAAACAATAAGAATATACTAGCATCCTCTGGATTGCTTAAATAATCCCATAAAATCTATTTCCCTAGCAACAAAATTGATAATATCAACTTACCATGGTAATCTACTCAAATGCAAAACAAATAGTTTCTCTTCAAGAAAAAAACTCATTAATTTAAAGTTCATTAGATATAGGTTCATCAAATGTTAGTATTGAAAAATAATCAGAAATTTGATTTTTAGTTCCTGTTCTACCTAAAATTTCTACATCAATTCTTATAACAAAAGAATTCACATCACCAATCTAAGTTTGGTGTCCTTCTTCGCCATAAGGTATTTGATTACATAGTGATCAGTGTATACTATTATTTTTATGCCAATCAAATATGATTGAAATTTATCAAAATCAATGATAATGTCTAGTAGTTCTTTTTAGAAGTGGTGTAATTACATTATTTAGTATTCAAAGTTCTGTTAGCATATAAAATAACATAAAATTTATTATCCTGCTGTTTACCAAGAATTGCACCAACAACAAAATCACTTGCATCATGCATAATAATAAAAGGCAAGACCCAACAAGGAGCAATAATAACATGTGTAGAAATCAAATGTCATTTTGAAGTTTTAAATGTTTCAAGACATGTAGTATCAAAAACAAAAATAACATCTTTATAATAATAAATAACATAATGATCTAAATTTTTTTAAAAAGACTTTTATAAATCTTCAATAAAATTTTGCATGTCCAAGGAATCTTATAGTTCCCTTAATTGAAGTGGGTGGGGGAAGTGTCCCTATGACTTGAGCTTTTGCTTTATCCAACTCTTATCTTTCCTTAGAGATCTTATGCCCAAAAATAATGCCTTCAGATACAATAAACTGACAATTTTCTCATTTTAATACTAATTTTATTTTCTCACAATTTTTAAGTGTAGATTTTAAATGAAGTACAAAACACAAAAAAATCATCATAAAATTTCAATGCCCTACGTAATTAGATCTGAAAAGTTAGGTAACATATATTTCTAAAGAGTAGTAGGGGCCCAAAGACATTCCGGTTCTATAAAGAGAAGTAAAATATGTTTAATCCTAGACCTCATGTGCTATAAGAATCTAGTGAAACCCTAAATATTCATCTATGAAATAAGAACAAGAGTTTCATGACAACCTATCTTGCATATGATTAAGGAAAGGTAAAGAAAAAGGTATTTTCTGGTGGCTTTGTTTAGATTCTTAAAGTTTATATAGATTCTCCAACCAGTAACAATCCTAGTGGGAATAAGCTCATTGAATTTATTTGATACAACAGTCAAACAACCCTTCTTAGGTATATAGTGAATAGGAATTATACAAGCATTATTTAATATGGGATAGATAATTCTATTTTCTAGCCATTTAAGAATCTCTTTATTATTAAACTCATTCATAAATGTGTTTAGTCATCTTTGAGGATAAGCTTTTTGTATAGAATTAGCCTCCATTAAAATTCTATGCATACACAGTGTGGGGCAAATTTCTTTAATATTAGCAATAGAATAACCAAAATCTTTCTTACAATCTTTTAAAATCCTAATCAACTTGACCTCCTATTCTTTTTTTAGCCTTGCCAAAATTATTACCTGCAAAGTTGACTCTTTTCCTAAAAGGCATACTTAATATGGATGAAAAAAACCTTAACCTATAAAATAGGGGCTTCCTCTACAAACGATCTTAAGGTTCTTCCCATAGATGGAATATCTAAGGTTTCAAAATTCCCTCATAACATTTCATAAGTATCTTCAAAAAATGAAAAAGATTCTCTTAAGTTCTCACCATTTTCTTAAAAATCTTGATCCAAAGAGTATTTCCCTAATAAGTCTTCCTTAAGGCTCTCCACTAGAGTTTCCCTCTAATTTACTCTAAAATAATCTATATTCTTTTCATAAGGAAATTTCATGGTTTTAAGAATATTAAAGGTTACCTCTCAATCTTGAACCCTTATAGTCAATTTCCTTTTACAAAAATCAATCATAGCTTTCTCTAATGTTAAGAAAGATCTCCCCAAAATAATTAGTACATCCCAATTCTTTTATATTTCTAAGACAAAAAAATTAATAGGGAAAATAAACTTATTGACCTCAAAAAAACATCTCTTACCACCCACATAGGGTATGTGAAAGATTTATCAGTAAGTTGTACAGTAATAGTGGTTGGTTGAACCTCTCCTACATCTAGTAATTTGAAAATGGGTAGGGGCATAAGATTTATGCTAGATCCTAATTCACACAAAGGTCTATCATAAACTTTATCTCCTATTGTCATGATAATTGTAAAGTTACCCATGTCATTTAATTTCTTAGGAAAATTCTTTTGAATAAGTGCACAACAGTTCTCAATTAAAGCCATAGTTTCCAACTCTCTTAACTTCAATTTCTTATTTATATTTTCTTTCATAAATTTAGTATAGGTGGGTATCTCCTTTAAGGCTTCAGAAAAGGGTATGTTGTTTAATTTTTTAAACACTTTTAAGAACCTAGAGAATAACTTATCTAAGTTTTATTTGATCAACCTTTTGGGAAAAGGTGGTGGTGGTCTATATACAACCTTTCTAATGGTTCTATTAATTTCTTAGATAGGTTCAGGTTATTAGGTAGATGTTCAACTTTTAAATTATCTTTTACACCACTATCCTTTTGAGGTTAATCTTTATCCTTATAAGGGTCTCTCAAATATTTCAATCTCATGGGCTGGATATTATTACATTAATCTTTTAATTTATGATTATTGATCAAGCTAGTAAGTTGCCTGATTTGATTTTCTATTTTTATGAGGGCTGAAGATTAAACCTATAATTGAATTCCCATTTGGATTATTATATCTTTTAATGCGCCTCTCTATTCCAAAATTTATTATTAAAATCATAGTCGAAGGGGTAACGCTACAGTGCTCTGATTGCGAGCACTACGTAGCTATCACAATCATGATCTATAATAGCGCTAGTATAAATATATGCCCTTGCGATCGAGTTCTAACTCTAATAATATCTAAAGTTTTATAAATTGTAGCTACCTATATAATAAAAATAGATAATGCATAAGATTCAAACATACAAGCTACCCTCCTTGGATTCACCCTATCAAAAGGCCACTACAATTATTTATGCTCATTTCAAAAATTAATTATATGCTTCCTCAAATGACTTAAACATTAAAGATCCTCCATGTGAAACACCTTAAGTAAAAGAAGCTAAACTCTTAAACATCAAGGCACCCTATCATCCAGAAGATAGGAATTAAGTATCATACAAAACAAAGTGTTACACCATGGGAGCCACTTCTTAAACCTTATATAGGACAAAGTACTACATAGTGGGAGTCAACACTTTAAATTATAAGATCCACCTCTAGAATTATATTTTCCTAGTTGATGATTATGTTATAATGTTACTAATGAGGACGTTAGTTACTTAACTGGGGCAGATTTTGAAACACCTTAAGTATAAAAAAGCTAAACTCTTAAATATCGAGGTACCTTTTGGTGTAATGGCTAAAATTTTATTAAGAAACTCCACAATTAAGCATGCTCATATTAAAGAAATACAAGGATGGGTGACTTCCTAGGATGTTACTCTCACTCGATAAAACTATAAGACTCTTAGGCCAAAGAAAACACTATCTTGATAGTTAAGAGTTTGGGGTATTACACTCCAGCTGCAACATATATGATCAACTTATGGGATCTTAGCAATATATTATAAAATTTCAGAATGATTAACAAATTATGTAAGGTATGATGAGGGAATTTCCTAAAAATTTCCTTAAATCTCTCATAACTTTCATAAATTAACTCACCCTCAAACTGGGGAAAAATATGATATCATTTCTAAGTTTGGAAGTTTTTGAAGGTGGTAAAAACTTAGCTTGAAATTTATATGTCAAATCATTCCAAGTAGTTATAAAGCACGGGGCAAGAATTCAACTGCATCATAACCTTGTCTCTTAGAGAAAATGAGAACAATATAAGTTTAATAACATCATTACTAACACCATACTTAAATATTGCATAAATTTTCAATAAAGTATTTCAGTGTAAATTAGGATCCTCAACTGGAGTCCGCCCAAATTGAGAATTTTGAACCATCAAAATTATTGCAAGTTTTAGTTCAAATTTATTAGTATGGATAGAAGATTTATTGATATTCTGATGGATTCTTTCAACTATAGGGTTAGCATTATTTTAAGAGATCTATAATGGTCTTGATCTTTTATTTGATCAAACATCTCTAAAATCTTTTTATTTTTTTGAATCCTTTGTTAAGGGTTTTTCTATTTCTTGATCAAATAATGAAGGATTCTTAATAGATATACAAAATATAAAACAATGATGAAATAACTAAAAATAAAAGTTATAAACTAAATAATTAATAATAAACATTTTTTGACTTTTTCAATATTCTAACAATCAAAGCAAAAATAAATAAACAAGATACAACTAATTCTAAATATGCACTTATTTTAAAAATATAGTTTAAAATTACAATACAGATGCTACTTTCCTGACAATAATGTTAAAAACCTTATTATGGCTACTATGATTTAGTTTGATGTGGATATATGCTTAGGTTTTCCTTAACATAAAATTTATGAAAGCCCACTAAATATGCATATATACATGTTGAACAAAGGCATGAAGTGATATAAAAAAGTGTCATTCCCATTAGGGAGGTATTCTATTTAATTGTAATTATTCTACCACTATTTGATCTTAATGAACAATTTATCATACATAATATAAAATTAATTTTATTTTTAGTTTTTTCACATTATGGAGGCTTACAAGAAAATTTGAAACTAATAAAAATAAAATATTTTTAACTAATAAATACATGGTAATATAGTTTTCCTAATGAGACTCTTTATTTTAGATATGAATAAAGCATATGCATGTCTAGATATTTGTCGAGCTTGTAGGTGTGAAAAGGGAGGTTTTAAGGCCTTCCTAGAATTTTACTATCTCCATAAAGCCTAGAATGTTTAAAATCTATGTATAGGTATGCAAGCATTCCATTTCAATACTACTATTTAATCTAATAATCTTCCATCAAGGCTATACATCACACTAGATATTAACTACATACATGACCATTATATGCATTAAATAAAGAATGAGAGATATTGAAACATCCTTGAAAGAATTTAAAGCATAAATATCTACATTAGTACTTGATATTGTTTATATCATTAGCCCAAAACATAGAAATTTAGCTAGACATGGATAATAAAAGTCACCTAGAAGAATCAACTGATATTCTCCACACTCCTTCCCTTAATAGAATTACTTAAACAATAGAGACTTTGATCTCCCAAATAAAAATATCTTGCACTTCCCTAGCCTCCCTTTGAATTTAATCTAAGGGGTACTAGAAAAAGACACTACAAAGTATAAGAATCTTCTGAAATGATATAACTCTTTAATAAAATAATTAAAAAACTATTTATATATGTGTATAAAAAGGTTCAATTGCCGCGACGCTTAATAAGTTAACATTAAGGAATTGATAAATGAATTAGTACATTCTTAAGTGTTAATTATGAACTATTTATTATATTTAAAAGTAGTGAAAATTTATTATTTTAGTTATATTTGTACAAAAAAATTTAATAGAAGACAAAATTCATAAGACTTAAATAGTGATGTAATGACAATATGTATAGTACCATGGACATCTACGGCAGTCGAGTTCAAAATTATAACCTTATAGTACTGGCCTCTTGGAAATTTTTAAAAATAGTAAGTCCCCAATGTAGCAAAGGTACGTCACAACGCCATTGTGTTAAAAATTAACATTAAAGTATTGGAGTATGTAGAGTTTAAATGTTGGAGCTCTGGTTTGCAAAATGCCAAAGTGTTTGATCAAACATTTAAGTGTCGTAGTACTGAACTTTTACAATTCCATGGAAGAGCATTTTTTTAAAATAGAAGCAAAATTGACTTAGCCAAAAGATGTACTAGTTTACCGATTAACTGTGCTAGGTCTGCCCATCACCACAAATTAATAGATATTACAGTGCTGAGAAATTAGTTCATTTATGTATGCCATAGCACTAACTTATCTAGCATTGTGGTACCACGACTCATTTTTGCACCTGTATAAATTATTTTCTTAGTTTTTTTATTTAAAGAGTTCTATCATTTCAGTGAGTCATATATATTATAGTTTCTTATTCTAGTTCCCCCTTATAGTAAAGTCTAAGAGAGGCTAAGGAAATGCAAGATACTTTCATTTGAGAGATATTAGCCTCTATTATGTAATCAATTCTACTATGGAAAGAAGGAGTGTGGAGAATATTAATTAATCCTTCTAGGTGACATTTATCTTATTTATTATCAAACATCTTTTCATATGAAAGAAATGAATATGAGTTTTCTTCCTTTATTATACATGATTAACTAAATTTCTAAGTTTTGTACTAATGATATAAATACATAGCAAGTAGTAATACAAACTCTTGTGCATTAAATTAATTCATATATATTTTTAATATCTCTTCTCGTTCATCATTTATGCATACAATGGTCATATATATAGTTAACAATTTGTGTGATGTATAGCCTTGAAAAAGGAATATTATAACAAATATGTGTATTGAAATGAAATATCTGTATACCTAGACATAGGATGTTAAACCTTCTAAGTACTTTAGAGATAATAAATATTTAGAAAGGCCTTAAAATCTCCCTTTTCACCCCTACAAGCTCGATAGAGATCTAGGGATGCATATGCTCTAATCCACATATAAAATAAAGAATCTCATTTTGAAAACTATGTTGTCTTGTATTTATTAGTCAAAAACATTTTATTTTAATTGTTAACAAATTTTCTTACAAGTCTTAATTACATGGCCAAAACTCAAACATCCATTTTTACATTCAGTTGGATAAATTGTACAAATTGTACATTTAGATTAAAAAGTAGTAATTTAATTACAACTAAGAAGAACACTTCCTCATGGGATAGACACTATTCATTATCCCTTCTTTACTTGATCGATGCATATACTTATGTATTTAGCAAGTTTTCATTACATTTATATGAAAGAAAACCTAACAATATATCCAAATCAAATCAAAACAACTATAATTACCCCCACATCAAGTTTTCAGCATTATCGTTTGGGAAGTAATGCGGGTAATATAATTTTTAGCTAAATTATTTGCACAAATGCATATTTGTAAATATTTGTATCATGTTTCTTTATTTTTACTTTGATTCAAAAATATTAAAAAACAATATATATATATATATATATTAATGATTATTTAAATTATGTTATTTTATTTTTATTATTTTTATTATTGTTCTGTGTTTAAATTATGTTATTATATTTTTATTATTTTTATTATTGTTCTGTGCTTAGCATATATTATATGTAGAACTTGTTATTTGATCCTATGATAGAAAGGATCCTTAAAAAAAATCAAAAAAATAAAAACTTTTAGAGATGTCTAACCTAGTATAAGATTAAGACCATCATAGACCTCCTAGAGAGTATATTAACCCTGTAGTAGCAAAAATCCATAGTCGTATCAATAGACATGCTATCTAGCATAATAACTTTGAACTAAAATATGTTCTAATTCAAATGTTTCAAAATTCTCAATTTGTGGGAACCCTGTTTATGATCGCAATCTACACTTAGCTAGTTTCTTTAAAATTTAAGTAACATTTAAATATATTAGTATTAGTTATGATGGTATTAAATATACAATATTCCCATTTTCTTTAAGGGACAAATCTAAGATATGGTTGAGTTATTTTTCCCATGCTCTATAAACACCTGGAATGAGTTGGCACACTAATTTCAAGTTTGGTATTTCCCACCTTCAAAAACTATTAAATATAGAAATGACATCACGTCTTTTGTCTAGTTTGAGAAAGAAATAATTTGTAAAAGTTGGGAGAGATTTAAGAAAATTCCATCATCATGCTTTACCTAATTGGTTAATTATTTAGACTTTTTACAATGGATAGGTAAGATCCCTTAGGGAGATCATAGATGTAATTGCTGGAAAATTTTTAATATTTAAGCCATTTGAGGAAGCATATGATTTAATTAAGGAAATAAATACAAATAATGTGTAGTGGTCTTCCAATAGGGTGAATCCTTAGAGAGTAGCTGGTGTATATGAATTAGATGCATTATCTATTTTTTACTACTCAAGTAGCTATAATTTTAAAGAAATTAGATACTATTTGAGTTAATTCAGGATTAAGATTAGCTATGCAATTAGATGGCCACAATTTGAATTCTATTTGTAATTTTAGTTCTTTAGGGATTGGAAATATAAATTTTATTAAAAGGTAAAACAATTCATATTTCAATACACATAATCTTGGCTAGAGGAACCACCATAATTTTAGTTGGTCAAATAATATTAGTGAAAATAACCATTGGAATGCAGGTCAATCAGATCAAGAAGGAAATTGAAATAATCCATGGTAACTTGTAGGAAATCCTAAACCTTCATATTCCTTAAGTTTTAACCAAAGTTATCAATTCAAAGAAAGGAAATCGCCTTTGGAAGAGCTGATTATTAAATATGGAACTCTATTGCAAGGTCAAGCTGCTTTTGATAAAAATTTGGCAACTCAATTTGAATAACTTGTAATCTCTTTTAGTAGTAGATATGTTGGATCATTAACTAGTAATACTGGAGTTTTTTTTTTTGAAGAAATGCAGAAATTGCATTAAAATAAAAGAGAAGACAACCTAATACAAACTAGGTAATAGAAGCTAATGATTCAGTTTTCAGTAAGAAAAAGGGACCTTATTAAAACTAAATTTTTTAATTTAAACTTGTTATAAATGAAATGAAATCCACTATCTCC